AAATAACCCGTTCACCGGGTTTGCCAACATTTTCGACTGACCAAATAGAAATGAAAGTGTTTCGGGTGGAAACTAAACCAGGGGAGAGCGAGTTGACGCTATCCCCCTTAATCGTTTACCACTTGCTTATCAAGATTTTTTTTTTTTATAACGGATTTGGTTCACTGTGTGTGTTTTACAGATGAATCTACCGAGTCCTGGATCTGGAGGATTTTATCAATTTATTGAGCCTCCTTCAAACCAAACATCTTGCCTAGACAATGTCTCTCAATTTCTAGATGAAGAAAAGGTAAATTTTTTGAGTTTTAATCCTTTTAAAAAAATCCAAAGTAATCTAAATTCTTAATCTCTTCTGATTATTTTTTAACAGTTTGTAGCTGCGAAGAGGCCATGGCATTTAATCGCAGAGACCGCGAAATGTAGCGTTGGACAGACGATAACCAACTCTAGGTCTGGTTTTAAAGGCTTGATCAGTTTCTTAACTTATATGTATAGAAATGTTCAAGTTTCCTTGTTTGACTCTTTTTTTCTTTTTGAATCGAGTTTCAGGGATGGTAAACAAATCAAACCACTAGACCTGAGATTGAAAAGTTATTTTCAAGATTCAGGAACCACAATTAGAAATCCAATCACCATTGATTCTTCTTCTACACAGACTATCCCAAATACTCCGCTCGACTTCCCGTGCTATATACAGGTTAAAATATTTTATGCATTTTCAGATTTTCTATATGTTTTCATTTTCAACGTACGTCCTGATTTTATATATGTAATTATGAACAGAAAGAAGAACTTGATCATGAATTCATGCCAAGAAGGAGTGGTGCTAATCTTTCGCTCAACAGAAAACCATTCTACAGCTTCTTGCCCTCGAATGAGCAGTGTATGCGCAATCAAGATCGACCCTTTAGCATGAAAACCGAGAGATATGATACAGTCAGTGATCACGGCATTGATCTTCGCCTTAAGTTATAAGAGACTTTTTTCTATGCAAATTTTCAAAAATTCAAATCTTTTTTTGTCATGAGTTTGTAGTGTCCAATATAGATAGCAAATTCAGATCTGCCAAAGACTTGGATTTGTTTTTTTTTGTTTCCTTAATAGAAAAACATGATTCGAGTGAAAGAAAATTTTAATTTGCATACGATATATCCATATATGAGAACTAGAAATAACATGGCTACTTCAAGATAAATAATCCAAAGACTGGCCTGACCTATAATGTATGTTCGCATTTAGTACATATGTCTTTTAAAAGGAACCTAT